GATCGTATTTATTACATTTTTTTTTTCTTTATCTGTATCTTTGTATTCATCTCTACACATACACACATCACACACACACACACATTATTGTATCACTATATTAACTATCTCATCAATATCTATTATTTAATACATATGTGGTGTGCGATCTATGTGTTGTGGTGTGTGTGTTGTTCACACAGTGTGTTGATCGGTGTAGTTTGCGATGTGTGCGCTACAGCACATGCATGTGTGGTTGATGTTGTGTGTGTGTGTGTCTTGATGTGTGTGCGTGCATGTCGTGACACAACACATGTGCACTATGCTGTGGTGTCGACTACATACACACGTACACAAATTATTAATAATATTATATATTATGTTATAATATATATATATTATATTATATATATTAATATATATATTAAATATTTAATTATATAAATATAATATTAGTATATTGGTAAGAAACCCTACAATGCACAAAACTAGTATTTAAACTTGAATATGTAATAGATTGAGATATACATATAAGAGAGAGAGATGAGAGAGAGAGAGAGAGCAAGGAGAGAGAGAGAGAGAGAGAGCAGAGAAGAGAGAAGGACAGAGTAAAGAGATAAAGGCAGAGAACGGTCCTACAAACTCAGACTGCAACACGGGAGTCCCTGTTGATCTCCGAGGGTTCTGCGGTCATCAGGGTTGCCCGTTCACAGGTTCTATAGGGGAAGTGTTCCAATCCTTCGTGAATATAATTATAGGATCATTGTATAGGTAGCTAAGTATACGGAGTAATTACTGAGTCGGCACAAATTTATATAATAATCATTCACCTACCTATGATATTAATGATAATCTATGGAGTTAAGAAATTATAGACATACATATGATAAAGTGTATTCTTTCACAAGGTCGCAAGCTTTAGTACAGGAGGTACTTAAGGTTCTGCAACGCTTTATAATGATACGATTATTATCACTAGTAATGCATAGTATAACGACCCTTGCATAGTACAGATGCTGTTCGAAGAACCTATATCTGTACTTGTCGTTAGCGATGTTTATGTTCTAAACGAAGCAGGATGCTAGTATAGATGTATAATTTCTAGAGATACATCCTTTAGACCTATGATCACTTCTCGTCATACTATGGATTGAATTATATTAACTGATAATATAATAAGTTAGGGGATATGGGAGGGGGGTGGGTTTATAGGTAGCTAGGAAATGATCCAAGTTATTTAAACGCCTGAAATACCCTGGGTCAAGGGGATAAGCCTCGAGGTACACTATATATACAATTACCAGGGAGTACGCGAGTAGTGGTGCTCAGGTGGGTGTTGTGTGTGTTGTGAGAAAAATGAAAACGTAACCAGCAGTAATACGTTGGTGATGAAATTAGTCGACGTTTGCGAACCCTCTCGCTTGCCCCATGTCGTGTCCTTCTACGTAGAATTCTTGTTCATCTGTTTTCATGATGACACTCAGAACTTGAGCGATATGCCCCAAACTCTCCGAGGGTAATCAAGTACTTAAGTACAAGACAATATGGTATAAATTTGTGTATTTTACGCAGCTACAACTTAAAAAAATAGGGGACACAAATCTTGGTAAAAGAAACAGAACCCTACTAGTGTTCTCCTATTAATGTAAGGAATATGGACAACGCAGAGGAACATGCCATAAGATAACAGTGTTTTCATAAATTCTTATAGGATATTAGTCGAGTATTCTATTAATCGCCATCGAGAATTGCCTGGGTTTTAATATCCTATGGCCATATTTTAGTAAGAATGAATCATCAAAAGACCTACATTTTTTCTTTCTACCTAGCAGG